ACTTTTGGCTGTCCACCTTGTTGGACCCTCGCTACCGTTCAAAAATGGTGGCCTTTTTCACACCTGCTGAGAGGGAGGCCAAAATAACGTACTATAAAAAAAAAACACCTATGTAGTCAGCTGGTCTCTGCCTGTCTGCGCCAACGTCCATCCTCAGACACTGTGGGCCCTGTGCGCTCGTGTTCCGCTGCCATGGCAGCAGGGGAGGGGGGGGTGGGGGTGGTAGGAGCAGTGGCAGCTCCACCAGCAGCGGCTGCCTCAGTCTGCAGTCGATGATGAGTAGCTTTCTTCACCAGCGCAGTGAGGAAACTACTAACCAGCCGCAGCAGCAGCAGCAGCATCAGGTGGACCTGGAGCAGGACCTCAAACAACAGGCTTAGGCCTACTTGGACAGCACCCTGCCAACCGAGGTAGACAATCCCCTTGACTACTGGGCAACGAAACTTGACCTTTGGCCCCAACTAGCTGAATTTGCCCTTGAAAGGCTGTCATGCCCGGCCAGTAGCGTGGCATCGGAGCGCGTGTTTAGTGCGGCAGGAGGTATTGCAACTCCGCGGAGGACACGACTGTCCACCCAAAGTGTGTGGAGAGACTCACGTTTGTTTGTGAAAATGAATCAGGCGTGGATTAGTCTGGATTTCAAACCACCAGTTCCTGACACAACTGACTAAATCCGCCATGAATCATGCCCCAAAACATGTCCTCACACTTTCAGGTCTCTCACACTGCTGGTGTGTTCCATTTTTTGTCATAGGGTGCTGGCAGATTACGGGCCTCCCATAGCTGCTGCCAGGCCCCTAATCTGCCATGGGCCCCTATACCGCCTCCTCATGCTGCTGCCAAGTCCAGAGTCTCTCATGGGTCCCTGTACGGCCTCCCATTGCTGCTGCCTCCATCGCCACACTCTGCCATGTGCCACTTTCAGGTCTCCTCACACTGCTGTGTGTGTTTTCCATTTTTTGTCATAGGGTGCTGGCAGATTACGGGCCTCCCATAGCTGCTGCCAGGCCCCTAATCTGCCATGGGCCCCTATACCGCCTCCTCATGCTGCTGCCAGGTCCAGAGTCTCTCATGGGTCCCTGTACGGCCTCCCATTGCTGCTGTCTCCATCGCCACACTCTGCCATGTGCCACTTTCAGGTCTCCTCACACTGCTGGTGGGTTCCATTTTTTGTCATAGGGTGCTGGCAGATTACGGGCCTCCCATAGCTGCTGCCAGGCCCGTAATCTGCCATGGGCCCCCGTACCGACTCCTCATGCTGCTGCCAGGCCCGTAATCTGTCATGGGCCACTGTTGTCGCTTGTTGGCATATTCCGCTCGTTCAGATGCTCCTTCTCCTGCTACTCCTCTTCACGGATTCCGTCAGCAGTCTTTCTTGGAATCCGTTTCCAAGAGACAACAGTTTGCGAGCACGCACCCGACGGTGCAGAAGCTGAACGTCTCCTCCTGTCCAAGTTGCTGCTGCCAGGCTCGTAATCTGTCATGCGCCCCTGTACCGCCTCCTCATGCTGCTGCCAGGTCCAGAGTGTGTCATGGGCCCCCGTACCGACTCCTCATGCTGCTGCCAGGCCCGTAATCTGTCATGGGCCCCTGTACCGCCTCCCCATGCTGCTGCCAGGTCCAGAGTGTGTCATGGGTCCCTGTACGGCCTCCCATTGCTGCTGCCAGGCCCGTAATCTGCCATGGGCCCCTGTACCGACTCCTCATGCTGCTGCCAGGCCCGTAATCTGTCATGGGCCCCTGTACCGCCTCCTCATGCTGCTGCCAGGTCCAGAGTGTGTCATGGGTCCCTGTACGGCCTCCCATTGCTGCTGTCTCTATCGCCACACTCTGCCATGTGCCACTTTCAGGTCTCCTCACACTGCTGGTGGTTTCCATTTTTGTCATAGGGTGCTGTATGGCCTCCCATTGCTGCTGCCTCCACCGCCACACTGTGGCTCCACACTCTGGTTTTGCCCCGTGACTGCCCAAATGAGTGAAGTGTGCGGTGATTCTAAGATCGACGGCACTCATCTGCATGTCATACTGACTGACAGTATTATTTCTCTTCCCCAGCAGACTCCAAGGGCATTTAAATTAAAGGTACAGTGTTCTGCACTAATATTAAGTCTCTCTGAAGCCTAGAAACACCCTTTTTTAAGTTAAATTCACAGCGAATTTATTCGACTCGAATCGAATATTGTCCACGAATTCGCCGAATCAGTCGAATCGAATTTTTCATTTCTTCGCTCATGGTATACGGAGAAATACCTTTTGCTAAAAATGTTAGTTGCCTAATTACACATCTTGGATCAGTTTGTGTTGGGCATAATACCAGATTATCCTATTGGCTGTCCTGTACTATCCTATTTTGTCTTAATTTGTGTGTCGGGGACGAGTTTATGTGACACTTTAACATTTTTTTATTTTACCCTTTTACTGTTTCCTTTGTGTAGGTTTATGTGCTGCTTCCTTGCTGCAGGGGATTTGTTAGAGTGCTCTTTGTCTGTGTATGTGTGACTAGCAGCAATTAGAGGTATTTAATTGTCAACGCACCCAGGAATTTTACAACATCTGTAACTGTCAGACTGTAATATTTTAACACCTTCAATACAGAACCCCTTCTTGCCAACATATATAATTGGACTGGCTGTGAACCTTTTCCTTGCTGTGCTGAAAATGTACATAAAATATATGATTTTAAATACAGCACAGTAGCCTAGTGGCTGTCATTCCTTTCTTACAGCACTGAGGTCCTTGATTCTAGTCCCAACCCGGACCCTACCTGCATGACGGTTGCATGTTCTTCCTGTGTGGGTTTCCTCCTCCTGACATCTAAATTGTCCCTAATATGTATGTACGTTGGGGATCTTAGATTGAGGGCAAGGAATGGCCCTAGTATGCATATGTATTTGAGGTAGGGGCCATATGGTGGCCATGTGCTCTTCAATTTGTTATTTGATCAAAACCATCTAATCCACAACCTTCGCTTATCTTTTGATCATTTAGTCCTCATGCACACTGGACGTTTTTACAGCTGCTGTTTTTGGCTTTTGGTGTTTTTTTTTTCTACAGCCAGTAAACTCCCCAGCATGTTATCCTATGTGTCCATGCACACAGACTGTAATCAACGTTTTTTGGCGGGATGTTTTTTGGCTGAGAAAAAAATACCAGGACTAGTGGGTTTCTAGAGGAGTTTTTTAGCTGTAAAAACCGCAGTAAACCAGCATTTTTGGACATTTTAAAAAAAAAAAAAAACCTCTAAAAAAAGCAAATGTGAAAAAACACAGCTAAATGCTAATACAAAAATGCTGAAAAACTCATGTTTTTAACGTGACTTTACATGGCAGTGTGCATGGAGCTTTAAGGCAAGCCATAGATGCAGGAAAAACAAATCGCTCGATTTTCCCCCATCTACACTGACTGTGAATCTCTCCCTGTTGCGTGCAAAAAATCCAACAGGCTGGTTGTACTGAAGTTGATCGATGGATCAACTTCAGTACAACTAGTCTGCCCATAGATGGATTGTATCTATGCCATTCCCTACTGAACAAGCCGAGATTTGATCTATCTGATCCAACTTTTAGGCTACGTTCACACTAGCTTTGTCAGCAGGCGGCAGACAGGCATTTGGGAAGCGTTTTTAATGCATTCCAAACACCTCTGAAAATTCTGCACATTGCAGCACATAGTGCTGTTCACACGTAAGTGTTAGTGTCGCGGCAAAACGGACGCCTATAGTTGAGTTAGGAGGAGTTGAAGCCTCCTATTCAAGTCTATGGTGCCGCTCCGCAAACGCCTGGCCAGCATTTGTGGTGTGGTTGCTGCGTGGTTGCGAGGCGTTTGCAGAGCGTTAATACCATTTAAACTTCATTATAGGCATTTGTGGGGCATCTTTAACGCTTGGCAAACGCCTACCAACCGCATCAAAACCGCGCATACTGTGTTTTTGGAGTGTTAAAAATGCTTCACAAACGCAGGTCTAACGCTTGTCAAATGCTATAGGGGCGTTTGGCAAGAAAAAAAGTCAAGTGTGAACAAGCCCTTAGACTCCATTTCAACCGGATTCAATGAAACTGAATCATTTGGCCAGAGTGGAATATTTTTGTATCAGCCAGTGCAAGAATCCAACTGTATTTTGAGCAATCAGATTATGAGATAATACGGTGGAAACAGAAATGTGAATAGTAACTTACGATCATATCCAACTATTGTTCAAAATCTACTTCTTGTATTGGCATATCGATCAAATGGGTTGTTATACGTCAATTTATTCCTATTGAAAGAGATCGATTGGAAAAAAGTTTATCAAACTGTGCTTGGCCACCATTAGATTGTTGGCTCTTTGAGGGCATGGAATGGCTCTAGTGTGGGTATGTACTGTATGTCAGGATTGTTAAAGGCAGAAAAATGTGAATGTTCACTATGTAAAGTATTGCCTATATACTTGTAATAATTAAATAAATGCAGCAGAGCAAAGAACAATTAGGATGAGCAAAGTGCAGCTGTAACAGCAGCTAATCAGATTATTAGCTCAGCTTGGCAATTTTATGTTTGTGAGGTTGAGATGCAGCTGTCACTCAGAGGATAATGCCATGCATGACAAGAGAACATTTATTTGATCTGGTTTACTGTACTTATGCATTTTTCTTATGTAGTAGTATGTCTAGGTTCACATATGTGCGGGTGGTGCCAGTGCGGATCCGCACAAAAATCCGTGCAGCTGCACCACCCAAATGGAAGAATGCGGACCTGCAGGCTGGTGCCATTAATTCTAATGGCACGCCGCCCGCATTGGAAATTGCAACCGCATTGGGAACCGAGGTTCCCGCGTGGGCTGCGTTTTCCAAAGAAGTGCAGGGACTTCTTCCCTGCATGTCCCGGGGCACAGGAGTCCATTCAAATGAATGGACTCTCGTGCCCGTGCAAAAAAGGCGTCCCTCACGGCCGCATATATGTCAACCAGGGCTAAGTCAGATGTCTCCTTGGCACCAACTCGTTGAATTAAGTATAAATCTCTGATGCGTGCTAATAGAATATCTAACATTTTTTTCCTTTTAGTTTTACTGTTTGGAGTTGCCCATCCTCAAGAACCAGAGTTCAGCCATGGATGTGCTGAAGGCAGCTGCTACCCAGCCACCGGAGACCTGCTGAATGGAAGGGCTCAGCAACTCCTTGCATCTTCTACATGTGGTCTCCAGAAACCAGAGTCATTCTGTATTGTTAGTCATCTCCAGGTAAAACCTTCTTTTTCTGATCCTCTTAACTTTTAGCTTGTTTTCCACACATTTTGTAAGGATTTTTTCCCATGAAATATGAGAAAGGGAACACAGACACACTCAACTCCTAAGGGGGATCTGCAAATCTTCCCAGGCAGGGATGAAGCTCTCCCCCTCAGCATTCCCCATTAAACAAAAAACATCTGGCAGAGGAGGCTGGGTGTAATGTGAATATTCACACACACATGCATTGTTTGAACAGTTGCATCTGCATAGTGTTTCCTGTCCCTGTTTACACTGCTTTCAGCTCTCTGTTGTCTGGATTAACTGTGTGTTCTCCACAAAGCCACAGAATAGCGACCCCCTCCATTCCTGAGATCAATCTACAGGAACATTTTCCTTAACTTTATTCAACCTTCAGATTTTTAAATATAAGTAGCATGTTCCTTCTATCCAAAACTTTTAGGGGAATATATCCAAATTGGAGCAGGGCAACCAATCGGCTTCTATGTTTCATACTCGAAGGTTAACTGTACAAGCTGAAGATAGAAGCTGATTGGTTGCTCTGCACAACTGCTTCAAATTCTGTCTGTTCCAGTTTTTTGATAACTTTCCCCCCCATATGTTTTTTGTTTTGAGTGGAGGGTAACATAAGCAAGTTATTTACAGTATGAAGTTGCAAATGGGTTTATTTTACGAAAGGTAAATATGCTGTTCATTGTGTAAGAGATGTTGCACTTTACAAGGAAACTTTCACCTTTGGCCAGGCTCACATTTGGCCATTTCCTGCATAACATGTTTGCGCGGGCACAGCAGTCCATTCACTTGCATGAGCTGCTGCATCTGCAAGAAACGCAGGAAAAAGGTTCCTGCACTTTTTCAAAATTGCAGTAATACTGAGACCACATTTTTGAGTTTCTTGCAGCCAAAAATGCATTGTGTTTTCAGATGAGTGGAGATTCCATTAAGAATTAATGGCACCCTACATGTCTGCTTAGAGCAGGGTATTTTGCCTGTAAGTGATTGCATATAGGAGGGAGGGGGCAGCTGCACTAGTGTGAACCTAGCCTTAGTGAATATGGTAAAGTTTTTATTTTGCAAAGAATACCCAATGACATGCTAGGAAAAGGAGAAAGCAGCATTTTTGCTTGTATATGATTTGATGATGGAAGACTCTTAGATTGTAAGCTCCAAGGAGCAGGGCCCTCCTAACCCTCTTGTATTGTTGCTGTATTGTCTCCCGTTATACTGTAAAGCACTGAGCAAACTGTTGGTGCTATATAAATCCTGTATAATAATAACAATAATAATAATAAGCAAAGCTTTACCTCATTCATTAAGCTCCTTTGCAAAGTGAAAGGCGAGTCTATCTTTCCTTTAGTACATCAACCCCAAAGTGTTTGATTATCCTTTTAGAAGTGTGATAAAGATTCATTATGCAGCTGTGACCAGTTAAGCACAGACAACCACAATTAAATATCTTGTTGCCTAGTCCGTGTGCTTGAAGCCCACTACACAGCACATCCCTGTCAGGAATCAATGCAGTGAATTCAGGTGATAATAAACATTCATTATGGTTCACTGCTGCTACATTCAGAGTATGTCTGAGAAGTCCATTGCAGTTCAGACCTATCCTGCATGTTTGTTAGTCCCCATTCAGATGGAGGTGATTAGTTCTGTGGCCCATATAGGGCCAGGTTCTGCCTGCACAGAGATGCAAAGGTGTTGTGTGCAACTCCATGCCGGTAGTCCATAGATTTCTACTGGAATGCATGGGTTCAATGACAGTCGCTGTGTCCCAATGTTACACCTGTGCGGGTGGGGGTGCACAGCCCCAAATGCACTGAGGTTGGGTTCGGGGAAATGCACCAGCATGGATGCCACGTGTCCCAATAACCATCTGTGGACTACCAATCCAAGGATCAATGCAACACCTGTGCATCCCTGTGCTGGCAGAACATGGCCCTACACAGGCCACGGAACTAATCGTCCCATGTGAAAGAGGCTTCACATCTGTCAATGGTGACAGAGGTGAATGATGTAAGGGACAAAGTCCAAAATACAAATCTGACAGGGGTTCTACCCTGCTCATAGAAAAGCGTTGCTGTTGGGAGAGTTCTCCTCACCTCCTGTCTTGTAAAACCTTGTCAGCAGGACAGTGAGGATAAATTGTATCCCGGGTATCTCAGCGGGGAATGTAATCCTTCCTCACTCCTATCCAAAACTAAGAAAAAGTTTTAGATTGACGTTTTAAGTAAGCAGGCATTGAACTGCATTTGAAAAACAGTCCCAAACACTAGAATACCTGCATGCAGTTTGCATGTTCTCCCTGTGCTTGTATGGCTTTCTTCTGGTTACTCAGGTTTCCTACCACATTCCAAAGATATGCTCATAGATAAATTGGCACTATGTGTGTGTATGAATGTGAGTTAGGAACCTTTTAGCATGAATTGTTGAGCATGTAAATCAAGCCATCAACTTAATTTCCTATAAGATTCCTTCATCCACACAAATGAGGTGGTAAGTGGAATCCTCCCCAGCAGGACAATGCCGTTGTCAGAATGCCCTGATCAGCTGCTGCAGCCACTGACTGAGAGAGGTTTTCCAGCATGCCCCTTCAACAGAAGTAAATGAAATAACTGACTTCAAGCATGGAATGCCACACACTGATCAGAATTTGGATGGTCCCTACTGAACCGGCCAAATTTCAATCAGTGTATGGCCAACTTTGGACTTTTTCCCTATTAGTCCACAGAACAATGAAAGAAATCTAACAGTGTATGGTCAGCTTAACACTGTTGATATGTTTCGAACTGAATTGATGTCCCTTTTTGTATGAAAACCAAATAAAAAAAAAAATAAACACTATTGATATGTTATCAATTATGAGTTACTTTAAGCTGGTACATGCAATAAGCTTTTTTTTTTTTTTTTTTTTTCTTTCTTTTTTTTTAACCCAGTGGGCTAAACAAAACACACAGGTCATTGCTTGCAGCCATTGACTGGCAGCCCTGTTGGATGCTGGTTTTCCAGCATGCCCATTCGACAGAAGCCAGTCATGAGCTGCACAGACGGGCTGAAAGTTTCCCTGTTTCTACAGTACTGGCTGATTTCATCCAATATGTATTACCTAGCATTAGGCATCACAACAGTGAAATGAAAAATCACCTGTGGAGGCCATTTATTACTATAACGTTTGCTGTCTTCTACATATAAATACGAGACCTTCTACGTATAAATACGAGACCTTCTTCCCAAGTGTCTGTGCATGATCCTTTTGTTTTGTAGCATTTCCATAGCTCTGTTATTGTCTGAACTAAATGTAGTTTCCTAATTAGTTTTTAATTCTGACCACTTCCTTTTCTCTTGAGCCATGTTACAGATAATGTCTCGAAGGAAATGTTTATGTCATTCCACTGCTTAGAACTTAAATGGTTTCCTATTTTTTACAATTTTTAAACTAAACCATAAAAACTCTTCAGATTTTTTTTTTTTTTTTAAGAGTTTTCTGCTTTCAAAAAGAAGAAAGTTGGCTACCTTGGACTTGTGGTCTGATACTTAGTAAAGATGCCCCCTCACTTTGAGCTAAATGGAATATACCGTGTTTGTATGGTTAAGAAGCAGTTTGAAGGCTGTCAAATCACCTAGCGTGGCTACTTTAAATGGCATGAAACAGCTTGTGTATTGGGAAGAATTTTGGAAGAAGTATCTCAAAAACATATAATATCAAGTGAGTTATTCAAGTAAGTGATTGTATGTTCTTCTTCTGGGTATATGCCATCGTTGTCTTTGGAGCATTGAAAATCACAGTTATGTAGAAAGAGTGTCTGATCAGAGTCTGTCTGATCAAAGCCTTCATTGCCTGTCAATCTGTATTACACTTTATATGACATATCTTTTGGAGGGTCTTGTGTATTGGGAAGATTTTTGGAAGAAGGATCTAAAAAACCAACATATTATATCCAGCGAGTTATTCACCTACTGAGGGTAAAAGTAGGAATTGTGGTCACTGGATGGACACATGGTCACTTGGGGCATGTTTTTGAACACTTTGATGTGAGTACATTACCATTAATTTTTGTTATGTATTGAGGATAATGCACTATGTGTTGTTTAATTTTTTGAGGTATAAAAAGAGGAAGAAGAGTAATCTTCTCTGAGAAAAATCGGAAATTGTTGTGAAATATGAAGATATCACCAGTTTATATGGGACTTTATGGAGACTTTTTGGGACTTTTCTGTTGGATGTTATTGAACACATTTTGATTTTGGATTTTTCTGTTGGTCGCTATTGAACACATCTTGATTTTGGACTTCCTGGATGGAAGTATTATCGTGGCGGCCAAGGGGACATTGTGGCTACTGAATATTTGTTATAGGAGAGTGTGGTCTATTCACACAGTGTATTTTGACTGTTCAAATGACTGATCAGTAGTGAATTACAAACGTTGCCAATTCACTTTAGACTGCTTTCTTTTTCCAAGTAGAAAACCTCTTTTAATCTCTTCGTGTTTTGTCCCAGCAGCACATACTATTATTTTTTTGGCCAAAAACATTTGCAGTCATGCCCATGCAACTTCCATTTTTGTTATGCAAAATGCACCCTACAATATATTTTCTAAAAATAAGAAAATACATTGAAATTGTGTGCTGCTTGCCATCAGTTAAACCCATATCTGTTGTTATCAAAGGTCTTTCATTAGAAAGTTAGCTTAGAAATGTGCTATTGTGATAAACCAGGTCATGGTGCTGTGAGCAGGGAAGGGGCAGTCTAGCACAGTGGAGGGGTCATTACACTATCTACACAGGAAGGAGATTATTATTCATGGCCCAGTAATCCATGGTCATATGGTGCAACATTTTTCATTATACTAGTAGAAAGTGAGATAAAAGCTTTATGTCAAGGCTCTTTGTAGCTTTGACTGATATTTACCCTCGCTGTGACACTTTTTTTCTATAATGGGTTTTTTCATAATTTGAATGTAATTTAACAAGACAAGGAAGACCTAAAGTTCAAA